GTAAACTATGTGTGCACGTATAACGAATCTAAGAAATAAAACAATAATCGTGCAATAAAGCCTATTCATCGGAAAGTTTATTAAAAATATCAATTATGTATTATTTTCCTGATTTAATCGTAATATGTGTTAATTTTTCGACAGTTAGACGGTTGGAAAGTGCCTTGAGGGGAAGGGGTTTGTTTCAACGCGGAAGAACGACGCGTCATGTTTATCCGCCGTGACCCTGTCTCCTTACACTGTGAGGCTCACAGTCATTTAACTGCCGAGGCTCGTAGGGGCAAGTAGTTAATCGTGCCGCCGCTGTTTTTCATATTTCTTTTTAGAACGTTTTTGCGATGAATGCTAGATAATACGAAAAATTTGTACATTATAAATACTTACATTATGCGATTATTACATAGCTCGTACAATCATTCATATTCATAAAAGGATCGAGATAACAATCGTGTATCATAGAATGGATATTTCGTACAATTCATTTATTTAGAATCAAAATGCTATGGGGCAAAGAATGTATTACTATACCGCGATAATGATGAATGACAATTATTTTCGTTTAATATAAAATTTTTCTCTTACTTGAATGTAACTCTGAATTTACATACTTCGAACGGTATCACGCGAGTTATAAGAAAGTGTCGTTAATAATTAATACTCTGATAGAAATAACGCAATTCATGCACGTGGTTACTACTATCACAACTAATACAGTTTGTGTAATTAATAATTTAATTAATTTTTCGCTTTTATATATGCATCTTTCGCGATATATGTAGACAATGGAAGAAATATATTACCCTTTTTTATGAAAAGGCCCATTCGATTGACTCTAATCGTATCTTACGCAGATGTTATAATAAGAGATTCAACTCTCAAGTTAATTGTCTAACAGTAATTTATGATAATAGTAGGTATATATATTGTACATTTTATAATTGATATCTTCCCTCTCACGGGTACGACCTTGACGTGGTGAGAGGGCTCAGTACCCCGAGGATGTACACGAGGAAGTAAAACGATTTTCCTAAAGTATCTCAAAATTTTCGGATCTACCTGAGTGATACATATCTAGATAAATTTTTAGATACTTGAGTAAAATCGTTTTCTTCGTGTAAAAATCCAACGACGGGGAAGCCAACGTACCCTCGTCGCCGATTTAATTCAATATAAACGAACCGCAGCCGGTTCGTCGCGTCGCGTGTGCCGTTCGGGAGTGCCGTTGAAATGATTATCGGACTAATTGGACTTTTCACAATACCCATTCGATGGAGATCCGTTTCGACGGTCGATGGAATCACATCTACAACAGTAAGACAGGAAACGGAACTCTCTTTGAGACGTTGCTGCACGTGTGGCCACCATTGGTGGTCATTGCAACTCTCATGCCGAGTGCCCGAGCACGAGGTGATGTCGGCCGCGTACATGTCACGCACTTCGCACAGGGTGCTGTGTTCGCGCGGTTTCGACTGATAGAGGACACGCTCCGTCTGCCGGCAAACGGTTCGGCCCTTAGCGGTAGAAGCGATCGATTGTCCCTCGGGTTCATCTCTGGGTCGCCCAAAAGCGCTCATTTCTCTGCTTTATATCCGTTTGAATCGCTTTAATCTGACTTGGTCAGAACCTAGCTGTTGATCTTTATGGTCTGCTCGGGACGAGGGGTTGGATCCTATTTCCGATACTGTCTAGATTGTTAGAATCGGCAATCGGTACCAACTTTTCTCTTGTCATCAATTAATCTTGATATAAATCAAGAGGCGCTCGTCACGTCTACTAGCCGAGTGTTATCACACGAGGTACAGCACCTTTTGTGTCCACGACGAAATGATAGTTAGGGCGTATGGCTGAGTCAATTTTAAACGTGATTTTGTTTAAATCAGAGGTGATGAACTCGATACGATCGATTACGTCTTCTATCGTGTGGGGCTTAACCCTTGTTCGGCAACAACCGTGTGTTTCGCAGTACTCGTCGACGTGTGGTGTTGATTCCACCGACCGAAATGGAAATCCTATCGTGGGTTTTGTAAACCCGGAAAACGACAGTGTCGCGCGAAAGACTTTGAAAAAATTATAGTCCGCGCGCGATTATAGTGTACTATTCGCGAGTGTTTTACGCGAGTGACCAGTGCGAGAGGATGTCAACCCAAATCTGAGAGGAGGAGGAGGACCGGGAGAGGCATCAGGCACCGGTGGAGCAACCTTGCGGTAAATATTATTTTTTACTTGTGTAAAATCGATATCTCTGCTCAATTTATTCTTAAATTATTTTACTTTACAATAATTTAAAAATACTAGTATTTAATTAAAAAAAAAGGATTGCTTTAAAATTTGAGAAATTTTATAATAATGTTCTTAAGATCCTTTTATAAAATTTATAATTATGTTTTAATTTGGATTATATATTTTTTTGTTACAGAATCATCGTAGCGACGTTGCAGATGTAACTCTGCTGTTGCGCATCGGATCGGTGAGTGATAAATCAATGTTCTTATTGAGGTAATGGATGTATGGTAATTTTATCAATATATTATTTATACTTAGATACACAAGCATATATCAATTTAATAATAGTAATATACAAATTTAATAGTTGAGAACTTAATATTCCATACATCCATTGCCTTAAAATGGATAAGTTTTAACAGATTAGGATCAACTTAATCTTGGATGCTTCTTTATTGTTGAATATAATTGTGCGTATAATTTATGTGCATACGAATATGTTCGAATGCATATAAATTTTGTATGAAGGCGAAATTTTTCAAGAAATTAGGAATACCATGAGGATATAATAGATTATTTATTCACTCTTATATTGTGATCAT